AAGGGGAGGAGGAAAAAAAAAAAAAAAAAACAAGTTCCTGCCCCAAGTCGCTTACAATCTACATAAAAGAAATTGAGAGACTAGATAGAGACAGGAGTAGAAGAAAACAAGGAGGCAATATTGATCAGTATGAGAGTCAGTGATATCAACACATCAACAGCCAAGCCATTGTCAAGTTTTTGTAAGCATCACGGCAAAGGAGAATAATGCATTAGTTTTGCATTTTTTATTGGAAACCTCTCCCAAGCATGAGGTGCAATATGGGAGTAACCACAAAGGTGCTTTCTGGAAAATTTAATAAGTGGGCGACGGGTGATGATATCATTAGCTGGGTGGAGCAGGGGAAATTTACATTTTGATAGCAAAAGATGACAAAATGTATTTAACTTGTCCAGTATTATGATCTTTTAGCCACTCTTAAAAAAATATCTATATATCTTACTGCTAGCTCCACATCACCTCCTGAATAAATGTAACCTCTTGCACAACTTTCATAACTCTTCACAATTTAGCTGTCTTACATGTTTGCTCTTTCCTTTTGTTTTCTTCCCTCGTCTCCAATGCTTGCTTCACTCACCATAGTTTGCTCATGGAGTGCCCCTACGTGTCCTTTTCCTTTCACCCATTTGTGTGTATTCTTTCATGCTGGCTTTTTTGGAACTCCCATTCAGACCCTGTCCACCAAGCATCCACTCCCTCCTCCAGGGCCCTTCTCAAACCCTAATTCTTCAAGGTGGTTTATATGCGACACATTCATTTTAAAAATCTTATTGTGCTTTCAGAGGGTTACATCCTCCTCATTCAAGCAACCACACAAGCTTATTGTTGCTACCCTCTACCTACTCAGCAAGACATGACCCCACCTGGGAGGTGGGAAGGGCTGTTATTCTGTATGACAACATTTCAAGCATTGTTCAGGACACAGAGGAGAACGGTCCCTGCCCTGGGAAACCTACACTCTAAGAGCTCATCTACACTGGCAAGTTGTGTCACCAAAAAATGCCACACTACAATGGGACTTCTGTCATGAAAAACAAGCCGTTTTGGCGACAAAAAGCTTCCACCCCAAGCGATACTTGTCTTTTCTTCTCCCTTTATTGTCGACAAAGAGCCAGTGTAGATACTGCCAATTGTTTTGTCGACAGAACAGGCTTATGCCAGTATCCTACAATGCCTGCCGATTGCTCTGCTCAGTGTTTTGATCTCTGCTTCCCTGCAGGTATGCACTCCTCCCTTTTCAAAGCTACAGGAAGTATCTGTGTGCTGCTCCCTTTGGGGAACAAAGAGCAAATCATTGGAATGCTCCTGTTCTGCTCTAGGAAACAGCAACAGGCAGACTGCTGTGCTGCTTTGCCATTCCTCAACATGGAGAGCTAACAGAGCTACTCATGATACTGCTCTTGGCAGCTGAGGGGACTGTGGGAGAACTTGGAGAGAATCCCAAGATTCAGCTCTTCCTCCCCACAACACTGCACTGTGGGATACATACCGACTGTGCATTGCTCACCCCGCCGATGATGGTGTCACCAATGTGGACATGATCGGTCGACAGAGGGAGCAAGTGTGAACACCCTTTGGCGATTTTTGTTTTGTCCACTAGTCAACAAAACTTGGTAGTGTAGATAAGCCCTAAAAAACAGGTCAGAGAGCAGCAGAAGCGGCTCTGAGGGGCCCAGGTGAGAGAACAAGTTCGGTGCTACTTGTTTCTCCTCCATTGAGGTGTGGGAGCGGAGGGTCCCCGCAGGCTGTGGAGAGCGACAACCTGGGGCCCTGCACCAGCAGCGAGTCCCCGGGGGGAGCTGAACGCGAACAGGGCGCTGCTGGCACGCAGCGACTCCGGTCCCGCCGTGCAGAGCGCGCCGCCCAGCCCAGAGCCTGGGGAGACGCGCAGGAAGGGCTGGGCGGCGATTGGCCAGGGCAGGGGCGAGGACACAGGCCCCATCCAAGGGGGGGGGGCGCGTTGCGGAAGAAGGCAGGAGGGGAGGGAGCGGCCCCCTCTCCCCGGAAGATTTCACGCAGTTTCACAGAACGACTAACCGTAGCACACAGGCACCGCACATGCGCCACAACATGGGCGACCCACGTCTCTGCCCCAAACACGCATGCGCTGTACTGCCTAGGCCTCGGGTAGCCTGCCGGCCCAGCAACGGACGAATTCCATACGCATGCGTAGTGCGAGAGGGCGCCCCCTTACCACCACACAAGCGCAATAAGGCGGAGGGAGCCCCTTCTTTCCCCGCGGGGTGCGAAGCCTCTTACCATGTACCACGTCCCCAGGATGATGGTCCCGGTACGGACATGGCAGCAGCCGCAGCAGCGAGTGCTGTAAAAACGATCCCGGGCCCGGCTCCCCTTGAACGTCATAGCGGCAGCAACAGTCTTTTCCTCACACGGGCCGCTCGCTCGATGTCTCAATCGACAGCCCCCTTCCCCCTCTCCAGCGGAGGAGAGGAGCGCAGCCCCGCCGCCGTATCACCGCAGCTCTGGCCAATCAACGGCGAAGAACTGGGGCGCGGGCGCGAGGCCGAAAAGGGTGGGGGCGTTACCACGGCAACACAGGATTGGCAGCGGACTCCGCCAATCGTCGCACAGCATCTCTATAATGTGGATCAGCTGCCTCCGGATAAGTTGAGGGAGTGGGCGGGCCTTGCCTAGCAGGGGGGCGGGGCCCAACCGGGCAGGAAGGGGAGCCCGGCATACGGTGAACTCACCTAGGCAAGGGGAGGGGCTCATATGGATAGGAGGGGGTGATGGCAGGGGGAGGGGGCTCATCCGGCCAGGGGGCGGGGCTCTGTGGCCGGGGGAGGGGGCTCAGCTGAGCAGGGGGCGGGGCGAGTGCAGCTGGGATGCAGGTGGCTGGTGCAGGGCGTCTGGAGCCGCCTGTGCATAGAACGGGGGCGTGGGGGAGTGACTTTAACTCCAGCACCTGGATCCAGCAAAGGGGGTGCATGTACACAGCTGTGCCCGCTTCTGTGCACACAGGCATCCGCTCCGTGAGAGGAATACCAGCCTGAGCCTCGGCAGCACCAATTCCCGTCTCCCAAAGAGGCCGAAGCTGGTTCCTTCAAAAACTAAGATCCTTATTTTATTAAATAAACAATTAACTGCTAATTTAAATGTTTATCAGAGTCAATCACATTAATTTGATGAAATGTCTAAATAATTAACCTTACAGAAAGATAGTGGAAAAAGCCGGCGTTTGAGTGTGGACTGGACTTTTCTTAAAATGGACACAAACTATTAGATTAAAAGCACAATAATAATACTGTATATCACAGAAAGGAAACCCTTTAAATAAATTACCCACAGGGAAAAATGTTTCTGTAAGTGACTTGCAAGATAAATCCTAGCTCCATTGAAGTCAATAGCAAAACTCCCACTAAATTTAATGTGACCAGGATTTTACCTATAGTTTATTAGGAAACTAACCTTTTCACTGAGATAGACTCTTTTGGAAAGAGAGGGGGGGAAATTATGTTGTTCTAAGTATCTCTTGCTTCAGATTCCCTCATAAAAATCAATTACATCAAATAAAGAGACTGATTCTGGAAAACTTGCCTTTTTTAAAAAGTTTGTCCAAATAAAATGAATCACTTTGAACTTTGTGGGTTTTTTTATTATTATTCTTTGTTTACTGATCTAACACTGTCACCACTTTTGAGCCCTTTAATGTGATACTCCAATCCCATATACTTTATGTAGTTAGATTATAGTACCATCCCTTTTACTGGTGAAAAGCAATTTAACTCATCTCCAAACTCCTTATAACAGCTGGATCTGACGGTGAGGGTTAGTAGGCAGGTGAAATATGGGAGTTATAGGTATAGGGAACATGTGATAGTGTGTCATGTAAAGCTTTTATTAGCATGAGGCTGGATGCCTGTTTTATTCATATCTTCAGAATTTTTGGATGTGACACATCACAGATAAATTCTCTTGCAATTGTCTTATAATTTCTAAAAATGTTATTCGGACTATTTTTCATAATGCCTTGCCTATAAAGTTTTAGTTACCATGTGTCAAACTATATAAGGCTGAGGAGGAACCATAAAATCCTCTAAAAATTATGTACATAAAATGTCAGAAATATAAACTCTGATATCTCATCTCCTGCATGGCTAGAAGTGAGCACTGACTCTCCTTGGAAACTGGGAATTGCTCCTTCTTAATGGTAAGATTACTTTTTCTAGGCCTGTGGGACCATGAGATAACAGACTTTACAGTCATGACATTTTTATTTATAGAAAACAGGCACTGGTGCAAGGCTGACTCTAGTCTGTCCTGGGTGTCAGACCATGGTAATATAGCTGGCTGTGAGGGTCAGAATTCTGCATTTAGGAGTAGTAGGAAAAATCATTTCTGTGACAATTTGATTTTTTTAAATTTTGATTTTCTCTGGCTTGTGGTTTGGAATATTGAAAATAATCATGGGGGAGATGGATTAGTGGCAGAGGACAGGTGATGCAGTCAAAAGAGCATGATAAATACACATAGCTCTGTAATTATTACACTAGTATCACATCCATAAATGTAGTTACTATGAGAAAAAATAAATTACATTAATTATACATCAAAAGTATGATAGAAAAATTGTTTAGCAAGTCTTTGGGAATCTTTGGATGAACAGAACTAAACAAAAGACTCAATTTCATTACTGCCCTAAGCATGGTAGCTTTTGCCTGATCAGTCACGGTGAAGATCAGTTCTGGGCATGAGGAATCTTACATATCTGCACTCCCTTGCAGATACGAATAGCTATTAGGTAAAATGTCTGTGCTTTTAGACATTGAAAACTTCAATTTGCTTTGAAAAGGTCCCAGGGGCTGATCCACTTGGATTCATGAAAGAATTACAGGATGAATTCTTGACCCTTCCAGACCATAGTTAACAAAAACCCTCTCATTGCATTATTATGGAGTAGGCTGTTGTTGATCAGAAGATATAGTAAATAAAGTAGCTTTAGTTGAGCAATAAAAACACTGTCCAACATTCAGCTCATACTTGTTTATAATTTGGGTGGATACTTGTGATTATATAAACAGATAAGTACAAAGCACTGGGCCAAATTCATCTATGGTGTTGCTCCATTAGCTTCAATCAACTTGGCCCACTGAGCCCAATTAAGAGTGCAGGATGTAAGTCAAAGCTTCAAATCCTGCATATACATAATCTCTCTATATCAATACAGATAAGCTATATAGGTCAGTTTCCCAATCAATTTCATAGTGAGGACCACATGTTAATAGAGGGATCGCCTCATGGATTCATCTCCTACCCTATTCATAATTACATGGCTCCTTTCCTTTCTGCTCCCAGAAGACTTCCTCTGAGGAAGAATAACAATTCAGTCATCTTATTAGAGAGCTGGGAGTCATATATCAGAAAGATTGGTTTTGAGATGAAATTTGAAATCTTAAGTTAAACAGAGAGAGACTGATCTAGGTAGTGGATGCAGCATATCAGAAGCTACCATGCACTGTGAAATGACAAGTTTGATAGACAACACAAATATCTAGAGTTATCATAAAAACAACAGTTTTGGAAGGAATGTTAAACCACATGCTTCAGGGCTTAAGCCAGTCTATTATTGATCAGGAGCAGACCTCCTGGAGTGGGAGGGGAAGCGAATTGTCCAATATCTGCCTGCTGCATGGGTTCTTATTACTCCTTCCTCAGAAGCATTGGTGCTGAGAAAGAAATGTGGCATTTTAAAAGCATATAAGGAATGAGCTAGAAAATGGCATGAGGTTCCAGAGATGAAAGAGGCAATTTCACAAAGGAGATGGCCACCTGCACACCCTATTGATTTCAGTGAGTTATGGATGTTCAGCCCTTAAAGACTGAGAAAGTAAAAGAATACACATAGAACTTTATGGGAGCTACACAGTGAAAAATCAGGCCATTTATTTAGTAGCTTAACCTCAGGCATACTCCGCAAACAGTTTTGAAAATCTTGGTCAGGTTGTGCAGCTCCACACATGGTAGCAATAATGGAAGATGTAATTAAGACAGGGCTCAGGCAGTTTTACCACTATGTACCTGACCCTTTACCTAGACTAGCCCTTCCACCGCTCATACCAGTAACACTGACACCTTTGGTGGTGAATTACAGCCAAAGTATGCTAGTGCACAAGCAGCCTTGGAATTGTGCATGCATGTAGGAGGGCATGCTCGATTAATATTGTAGTCTTGGGGATATATTCTCCTTCCTATGGCATTTTGTATAACTATTCATTTCCACATTAATACGACATAAGGTTAGATGATACAATGAGCCGTGTCTACATTACAGTGACCACTTACTACCACTGGGGAAGCTGCACTAGTGGGGAAATATGGTTACAAGGTTTGCTAATGTGGCCATGGTCCAGCTGACTTCAGTGGGAGTTGTATTAATAAACACGACAGAACTGGGCCATATATAATCTGTTTCTTGTTGCTGTTAGACTCTCAGCTGTACATGTGAATGTCATTTGCCCACTGCATGTGTTCTTTTATTCTAACAAAATAAAAACTTCAATAAGTTTTCCTTAAAAAAACACTGTTGAAAGATTTTCCCATTCTTGAAAAACTGTTTCACAATATCCCTGTGGAAGCCTGAAAATGAAATGTTTCCTTGCCGAAAAGCTTTTTCCTCCAGCTCTCTTTCTCTCTAACACACGCTTGTTACTGGAGGGTTGCTCAGAAGTTACTCGGCTGTTGCCAGTGATTTTAATATTTTTTATTAGAAAAAAAATAAAACATTTCATTTTGGAAATAAAACAACATTACATGAACATTGCAAAGTTTGCAGACAGATATATAAGAAAAGGTAGGAAATTCTGAGTCTACCAACCTTAACTTCTCTTACATCTTTCATTAAGATATTTTCTCTTTTTATTCAGCAATGGAAATTATCTTCTGCTGCTAAATAAAGATTTCAGGTAAAATCCTGGCCACAGTGGAATTAATGGGAGCTTTGCCATTGATTTCAATGGGGCTAGAATTTCACCTCTTATTTACATACACCTCTACCTCGATATAACGCTGTCCTCGGGAGCCAAAAAATCTTACCGCGTTATAGGTGAAACCACGTTATATCGAACTTGCTTTGAGCCACTGGAGTGTGCTGCTTTACCATGATATATCCGAATTCGTGTTATATTGGGTCGCGTTATATTGGGGTAGAGGTGTATTTAATTAATCCATCCTCTAAATCCTAATCCTTACTAGATTTGTTTTCCCAATAAGGTCAAGTATTTTCTTGTTAGTTTTATGCATATGATATTAACAAGCTGCTTTTCAGGGAAGACATTGTTTGCTTTATTAGCCTCATTCATAAATTGCCTATATTTTCTCTTAACTGATATGTAAGCATTAAGATATGCAAATTCTAAAGTGTATTATTGAATGGCCTCACTTAAAAATATCCTCTGTGACGGGAAAAAAGCCCACAACTATGTATCTGACTCTGAACTAACTTTGTTTTGTTCATCTTCAGGGCATATTGCAAGGCTCATTTATTATCTCTGGTTCTGTGT